TCATGGAACAGAGGCTTTTAAGCTTGTTCTGTCCTGGACCTCTCCTCTTAATAATAATAGTAAGGAGTATCAGCATATATTGAGTGCTTGCTGTGTCCCTACTATTGTTCTAAGTGCATGCATAGTGACTTACTTAATCCTGACAGCTTCTCCATAAGGTGAGTGCTGTGATTATCCCATTTCACAGGTAGGAAACTGAGGCACAGAGAGGATGAGTAAGTGCCCCGGGTCACACAGGTAGTAAGGGGTGGAGCTATGGTGGGAACCCTAGTGGTTCAGATGCAGAGCTCAAGCTCTGAGCCAGCAGGCTATCCAGCTTCTCCTCTGAAGCCTTTAAAATGAAGCCTTTTAAAAAAAACAGACCTGATAGGAGCAGGGCTGGGACCCTAAGCCCTCTGCTCAGCCCCCAGTAGACCCTACGCCAGTCGTGAGAACTCCAAAAGTCTCTGTGTAGAGGATTATAAAGGAAATGATAACAGGAGTGGTGGCTGGGGAAGTACAGAAAATGTGGGTTTTGAAATTGGACTGGTGTCCCCACCTGGAACCGACTCCTAGCAGCTGAGCAACCTTGGGCAAATTTACTTAACCTCTTTGAGTTTCAGTTTCTGCATCTGCAAAACGGGAATAAGTGTACCCATTGAGCAAGTTGTAGGAAGGATGGAATGAGAACACAATGTTAGGTACCAGGAGATGCTAAATAACCAGCGAGTATTGTAATTGATAGTGCTAGGCACTTGTTATTTTGGAGAGCAAGTGATGGAGAGATCTTTAAATTCGACAATGTATAAAATGTAAGGTTTTTAATGGTCTGTTCATTTCATTAATTGTCATTATTAGTGATAACTCCTGTTGTCCCTTTTATTACAGTTGCTGGAGCCCCTTAAATGGGAGTCTCCGATTCATGGGCAGTTCATCCTAGAGGTTGACAAGGTGGTGTTTCCCTTCCTTTTTCATTAAAAAGTAATCCACATACTAAGAAGTCAACCAGTGTAGAATAGCAGAAGGCAAATTGCGAAAGGCCCTCATCTTCCCCCACTCTTCTTTTCTGGAGGAGTTTATATTAGGTTTGATGAGATTCTGCCAAATAATTTTTCGTGCAAGTGTCTGTGTGTGCGGGTGAGGGTTTTTAAAAAACAGGGATCCAACCGTATATTTATCTGCAACTTGATATTTTGTCACCCGTTCAGAATTCCTTCCATATCGTTATGTTCAAATCTAATGCAGCTATTTTTACTTTTTACCCCCATTTCGTAGATAAAGAAAATGAAGCGTAGAGTTCTTGACCCAAGAACTTACTTTAGAATAACCAGGAAGGTTAAACCGCCCTGAGCAATGGGTTGTTGTGGCATGGAAAACTTGTCACTTTGCAATTCAAAATGAATTTCTTCTGTGAAGACAAAAGCCAAGAATGTATAGAACTCTTGCAATTTCACGGGTCCCTGAAGAAAGTTTCTTCCCCTGTTTGCCCTGTGCCCTCAAGAGCAGGCAGTTAAGCAAGTGAAGCAGAGAACAGAACTCAAATGCCACCTCAGCTAAGTAGGCGATTCTTATTCCCCGCTCTCTTTGCCTCTTAACCCCAAATCAGTTGGAAACCTTTGGGTCTTAATTGCCTGGAGCACTGGAGGCAGCCCGACCAGCCCAGCCGCTGAGCGGCCCCTGGGGTGCAAGGGCACTGAATTAAATGAGGGAGTTACTGATTAAGCCCGAGTGGGCTTTGCATGCCCAAGTGGCTGGGCCGCTGAGAGTCCTAGAGGGAGCTGGCCAGCAACAGAGAATAAATGTACTTCATGCGTCATTAGGCCCTACGGAAAGGGACGGGGATTGACAGGTGGATGGATTTGGGGTAGTAATCCAGAGCAAGCAATAAAATGTGGGTTGCATTTTTTAAAATTAGAAAGAGGTTTTGCTGTCGTGTTGGGTAGTATGATGTGTACATATTTATATATGTGTGTGTATTTTTATTCTCTCCATTTATATTGTGAAGTACAGCATACGTATGCAAAGAGTATATAAAACTTATGTGTATAGTTTAAAGAATATTAAAAGCACCCAATACCTGCACTCAGGTTAATACAGTGTTACGTTAGAGGCCCCTTTGTAGGCTAATTTCATATTCCACTCTACCCCTTTACCTGCTGGTCTGAATTTTGCATTAATCATTCCTATGTTTCTCCTCGATATATTTTAAAACTTCATATAGGTGGAATAATAGCGTATTCTAACATGACTTTCTTTTGTTCCACCTGATAGATTTCTGAGATTCATGTCTGTTGAGGTGTGCTGCTGGAGGTCATTGGCACTGCTGAAAGTATGGTGTGATTAGGTCATAGTTTGTTCATGTTTCTACTATTGAATGACATGGGGGCTGTTTCTGATTTTCAGTCTTACAGTGCTGCACTAAACATTCTTAGATGTGCTCTGTGTGTGTGCGTGGAGTTTAACTAGGACGTCTGCCTATGGGAGGCCTGTGCATGGCCACGGTCACAGGTCCCATGGACATTTCTGTAAAGCGGTCGTACAGATTCACACCCTACCGGTAGTGATGTCGGCTCTCGTCACTCTACACCCTGGTTATGTTTTTTATCATCGAAACAGTCCCATTTTACAGATAGGGCATGGAGACAGGAAGAAAAAAGGTTGACTTGTCCAAGGTAACTGGGCAGTTAATCAAAATGAGAACCCCAGAGAGGCGGCTGGTGAGTACTCATTTGATTCCTGCGAGATTTGCGGATGCAGGGAATGGCATTCTGTTTATATTTGGTCCTCCTAAAACTCTACTAATTACCCAGGTTTTTAGTAGTCTACTAATTACCCAGGTTTTTAAAATCACTTTAGTTTTTTACCTGTTGCTACTATACATGCTCCTTATAATGCGTCTGTTATAGGGATTGGAAGACCCAGTAACTAGGAAAAAGCGAAACAAAAGCAAACAAAAATTTAGTTTCATATTAAATGTTAATTCCCTTCCAGGCTTTTCATCGTTCATGTTCAATTTTTTGTTATTTAAAATTATCATTTTGTACATTTGTTTTACATCACGTTTTCTTGGTGAAGGTAAACATGGTGACTGTCATTTCTGATGGCTGAGAGTGACTGGGCTCCTTATCACTTATCCTTTTCGTATTATGAACTCGCTGTTGAAGGGACATGGCCTCTCTTTTGCCTTTCAGATGGTGCAGAATTTCCAAGATGAATCCTGTTTTATTCTCAGTACCTTAAAAGGTAAAGCCCCTCCCCCCCCACCCCTTTCTTGTTTAATTGAAGTATGTTGGCTGCAGTGTAGTGTGGGGAGTGGGGCCTGACTGCATGGTGTCCCCTTGAGAGAATGTTACCTGGGGATATCCTCTAACAAAGAGAAACACAAACTTCCCGTGAAACCTAGCCCTGGAATGTGAGAATCAGTGAGATTGGCCTCAAAGTCACTTCTAAAAGGGAAATCTTGGCCAGATAGTGTGTTCTCAATGAACTCAGTGCCAAGTAGATGTATGATGCATTTGAGTTTTACTAAAATGTGGGTCTCTAGAAAGAGCAGGCATGGAATACAGCAGCTGAGTCTGAGGCCGAGTGGATAGGGATCTGGGATGGAAGGGTGGGATGTGGAGGGCCCTCCTGAAGGAGGAGTCTGAGAAAGAGCACTTGGGCCAGGAGAAAGGAAAGACCAGCTGTGACCTTCCTTAGGGCCGGGGCAGGTGAGTATACGAGGTCTGTCGAATGAAAACCCCTTGACTGGGTCATAGACCCTGCACTCTGACGGGGCCTGGGGCCGTGACACCCCGAGAACCACAGTTTGTCCAGAGCCTCGTTGGACATCGGTCCTTTAGTCCTTGGGCCTATAGCTGTGGTGGAAAGGCCTGTCGTCAGAAGGAAACTCAACGAGGCAGACACAAAGGCATGTGTTGAAATCTCTGCTTTTGTCAGCACATTTTGCTCTGTGCAGCCTTATTTTGGTGGTCTCTGTCAGTATTCATGGCAGGGCTTCTGTAGTACCCTATCGCTATGCATTCCGTGACTCCCAAATGCCACGGCACCATGCCTTTCTTCCTGGAAAATGCCCAGTGTTTCTCTCTTGCAGCTGAGAGCAGTGATGGCTACCACATCATCCTGAAATGTGGCCTCTGAGCAGAAGTACAGCAGGCAGCTGCCTCCTCTTCCCAGCCCCTTGGATGTAGAAATTGCACCACTGTAAGCTGCAGCCTCCTCTGGCAAGCTGTGGCTACGAGTGACCTTGCTTGGTCTATGAAAGCCACAGACCAACGACTGGCAGAAACCTGCAGATGCAGAGTCTCTGGCACGGAGAAAGCCAGTAGCTCCTCTGTTCTTTCCACTTGGCCTCCAGCTTTTGAACAGTTCCTTGGTCTTTTCCCCAGCCCTGCCATTCTAAAGAGGCAAACAGTGGGGCATCTTCTCTGGAATCCCTTCCTCCCTTAATTGGAAGCTAGTTCACTAGGTATCTTGGTGCCCTCTGTAGTGATTCCTTCTGACCACTCTCCTGCCTTCAGACAAAGCTCTGCCTCACCCCGAACCTTCACCTTCTCTGGTAACTGAGGCTCCGTGACCAAGACTGCTGACTAGATGGGGGCTGTTTGCCTCCGTCGTGTTGGTTTCCCCGCCCAATGACTCCGCAGGTGAGCGTCCATCTGTCCTGTCCTTGGATGGACTGATGGGAGTGGAACATGCTGTGCCTTCTTCTTTCACCTTTACCTTGTTTCTAAGGATCTGCTACTGCAGAGCCCAGACATGGGCTCATCTCTCTGCACTGGTGTGGTGGACACCACACTGTACAAGTAGGACCTGCCACACAGACCTGTTCTGAGGCCCTTGGGAGAGAGGCGGGGAAGATAGAAAGACTGTTTTTAGGTACATTCTCATGAGTATAAGAGGGATGAGAACAAAATGATTCCTCTTGAGCTTCTTTAGTATAATTTTATTTCCTAAAAATCATGGATAAGGAAGACTAGGAAATGAACATTCCATTATATGATCAGATGACCTTGACTGTCATGATACCTGGTGGTCTTAGATGGACTCTCCAAATCTCATATAGAGAGGACCTTGGTTAACCATTGCCAAACTTGCTAGGTTTCCGAGGGACATTGGTTTTTCTGTGAGCGTCTCCCTTCCCCCATTTAAATATTTATCTTTTTTTTTTTTCCATTTGTAGGGGATATGGTTAGAGCATTTTGCCTGCATTGGCATGATTGGACCACCTTTCTTAGTGACTTAACTATTAGGAAATTTGAATATCAGTAGCTGGTAGACCCAGGAATTACTCTTTGTCTTGACTCTGCTTCCCAGGACCCAGTGATCTGTATGGGCCCAGGGCTTCAACTCTGCTAATTAGATTCATCTTCCAAAACGTGGTGAACCCTATGACCAACTGAGCAAGGTGTTACAGCTTTTAAAGTGGAACTTTGGCGGAGTATAGTGTTAGAGTTAGAGATGATCAGAACTAGGACACCTTGTTTTACAGATGGGGAAATTGAAGTCCCAAGGGGCAAAGCCACCTGTCTGATAACCATAGTGACTGGGTAATGACATCGATTTATTATACAAACCAGGGTACTTTTGAGAGCGAATGAGCTTATTAATCATCATGTTGGGACAACAGGTATGGTGTTCCTACAGAGTAAAGACAGGCTCCTGATTCTTTTTCTCTTTTGAGGGAGGAAGGAGGAGCTGGCGACAGCTTTATTGAGATATAACTCACATACCATACAGTTTGCCCATTTATTGTGTACAATTCAGTGGTTTTTAGTAAATTCACAGAATGACCACAGCTTTAGAACATTTTCATCACCCACCAAAGAAACCCTATATTCTTTAGCAATCATTCTCCCATTTTCCCACCCCGGCCCCCAATTTCTGTAGTGCTAGGCAACCATGAATTTACTTTTTATATAGATTTACCTATTTGGGACATTTCATATATATGGAATCATACAATATGTGGTCTTTTGTGACCAGCTTCTTTGACTTAGCTTGATGTTTTCTAGGGTCATCCATGGTGAACATATGTCGGTACTTTTAATCATTTTTACAGCTGAGTAATAGTTCATTCTATGGGTATACCACATTTTGTTTATCCATTCATCACTTGGTGGACATTTGAGTTGTTTCTATGTTTTGGCTATTATGAATAATGCTGCTATAAACATTTATACAAATTTTGTGTACACATGTTTTTATTTCTCCTGGAAATATATATAGGAATGGAATTGCTGGGTCATATAGTAACTCTATGTTTAACTTTTTGAATAACTGCCAGACTGTTTTTCAATGCAGCTGCACCATTTTACATTCCCATCAGTGTATGAGGCTTTCAATTTCTCTACATCCACATCAATACTCGCTATTATCTGTCTTTTTGATTATAGCATCCTAGTGGGTATGAGGTGGTATCTCATTGTGGTTTTGATTTGCATTTCCCTGATGGCTAATGATATTGAACATTTTTTTTCATGTGCTCATTGGCTATTTCTGTATCTTCTTTGGAGAAATATCTATTCAGATCCTTTGCCCATTTTTAATTGGGTGATATCTTTTTATTATTAAGTTGTATGAGTTCTTTGTATATTCTAGATACAGGTCCTTCACCAGGTACATGATTTATAAAAATTTTCTCCCATCCTATGGGTTGTCTTCACTTTCTTGATGATGTCCCTTGAAGCACAGAGGTTTTTAATTTGATGATGTCTGAGATTACCCATTTTTCTTTTGTGGCTTATGCTTTTGGTGTCATATCTAAGAAACCATTGCCTAATTTAAAGTCAAGAAGACTTGTGCCTATGTTTTCTTCTAAGAGTTTTTATAGTTTAGCTTTCACAATGGTCTTGTATTCATTTTAAAGTAATTTTGGTACAGGTAGACCTTGTTTTATTGCACTCCACTTTATTGCATGTCACAGATGTTGCCTTTTTTACCAATTGAAGGCAAGACCCCCCACCAGCAAAAGATTATCTCGCTTCATTGTGATACCAGCTTTATTGTGTAGTCTGGCACTGAACCTGCAGTGTCTCTGAGGTGTGCTTACATTATATATTGTGCGGTAGAGGTCTCACTTCGTTCTTTACATGTGGCTATCCCGTTGTCCTAGCACCAGTTGTCGAATAGACTATTGGAATCCCATGGAGTTAATTGCCTTGGCACCTTGCTAAAGTCCCCTGATTCTTACTGGATCTCTTTTTTATTTTTAAGGACATGGGGCTGTCATTGGAAAGCTTGCCTTTTCACCCTTTTCTCTTTCTTTCTTTCTTTCTTTCTTTCTTTCTTTCTTTCTTTCTTTCTTTCTTTCTTTCTTTCTTTCTTTCTTTCTTTCTTTCTTTCTTTCTTTC